GAAGGAGCCGGGGGTGGGGGGGGTGGTGGGGTGATCCTTGCCCTTCTTTTTTGGCTGTGCTGTTTTGACACTCTTTGTTGCTTTTTTATTTTTTTAATTTCTTTTTATTTTTTATTTTTTACCCTTTTGTTTAATGTTGAATTTCTTTTCCTCCAGCCTGGTCGATGTGTTTTTCGATATTGTTTTCCGTCCGCTGTTTTCTTCTCTCTCTTGCGCAGAGACTGGTGCTGATGAACATGCCCGTGGCTGAGGACATGACGGTCCATTTTACCTCCACCTTGATGGCGCTCATACGCACGGCCTTGGACATCAAAATTGCCAAAGGTAAGGTCGGTGGGGTAGAGAGGCGACAGAGCCTGGAGGATTTCAGGTGACCAGCGCTCATCCTTTGGGCAGGCTGAGGACATCGTTGCCAAATTGGGGTTGGCCACCCAGAGCCTGGTATATGGATGGAAGCGGTTGCGTTGAACGTGCAAATGTCTGCTGCTTTCTAGAAAAAAAAAAAAAATCTGTTTCTTTAGAGTAGAGGTGGCCAGTTTTCTACTAGAAGCTGCTTCTAGAGAGGAGAATCAGCTTGATGTCCACTGTGTAATGGAGAGGAGAAAGAATTCCCCTTCTACCCATGTACAAAACCAAACCAAGGAGGGAAAAGGTCACCTGTGCTTGGCTTCCTAAGGCTGTGGGGAACAGAAATCTCTCCCTCAGGGAAAATAAAATGTTCAGAGCAAGAAAACCTGCTTTGTTGTTGTTGTTGCTAGAAACGCTCTGATTCATCAGATCAAAAGCTTTCTGCAGAAACATGCCATTTCGAATAACACATCCCCTGGGAAAGCTCAGCTGTTGGAAGAAACCCAACCCCAGGGCAAGATAACCAGCAAAAGCCCAGTGCTCTGACAGCTCCTTGCATCTTGAAACAACGGGTTTAGGCCCATCTAGATAAAGCAGAGATTTGAATCTGGGTCTTCTGCAGCTTGGCCAAGCTGCCCCAGGCTCAAGGGTCTCCAGTTGGCATGTGTTGACAGTTCCCTTTGAGCCTGGGTCTTCCTAAGCTCAGCAAACCCCGCCACCGCTGGCCGGAGAGCTCTGTGCTCCTCCTCACACAGCATCGCAAAGTATTTGAGGATTTCAACCAAGCAGAGCTGCTCTTTCACCGGCACATGATCCACTCACCAGCAAAGAGAAAGTGGGGCAGCAGCAGGTGTGTGTGGGCTGGAGTGGGATTGGAGCCGCAGAGACGGACCCAAGGCGAGCTTGAAGATGGCAGCTTTGAGTGGGAGGGCAGGGGATGGGGAGATGGAGGCACAGATGGAAGGGATGGGAGGAAAGTTTCCTTGGGAGAGCAGGAGACCAGGCTCACTGATGCAAGATGGCCCTCCCAGCCCTGAGAGCTGGTAGCTGCTTGTGAACCTCACTTCAGGATGGGGAAGGGGTGGGTTTACTTAGACCCTGGTTCCAGGTCTTGATGTATGTGGGTCGTTTTTTTCCCCTCCCTGTTCAAGGTGGTGCAGATTGGCAACAGTTAGACTCTGAGCTTCAGAAGGAGATCCTGACCATTTGGCCTCACCTGTCCCAGAAGATGCTTGACCTGTTGGTACCCATGCCAAAAAGTGAGTCTCTGGAGGGTCTGTCGTCCCTGCCAATTTCCCATCATACCTGCAGCAACTTCTTCCCAAAGGGAGGTGGGGATCAGTCAGACCCATCCCCAGCTGGGGGAGAAGTGGGAAAAGGGGTTGTGTTGCTATAGGCTGGCTTCTGCCTTGCTCTGCCTGGCTGTTTGGAAATCCTCTTGAAAAACTCACGTTTTGCAGTGTTCTGCTCCTGCCAACCCTAGAGTCTTCTGTAAATTGTCTCTGGAGCATATAGGGGCAGGAGGCTGAGCATGGCTTGCTCCATTACATCTGGTGATGCAGTGAGGGTGTGCATCTTGGTGGTTTATGATGATGCTTTCAAGCCATCTCCATCCATTTTATCTTCATGTGGAGTGCCTGGGTGTGTTCCTCTCTCTTTCGGAGCGGTGAGCAGAGTTTGCGGATCACAGGGGTATCTCACAGCAAGGCTCTTCTCAAGATCCGTGCTCGTGCCTTTGGACCTGCTGTTTCTGTTAAAAGTGTCCCCCCCTTCCTTCCCTTCTTATGCTCTCAGCCTCTGACCTGACTGTAGGCAAAATATACGCAGCCATGATGATCATGGATTACTACAAGCAGAGCAAAGCAAAAAAGCAGCGGCAGCAGCTGGAGGAGCAGGTGAGGCTCGGCGGGAGTGCGCGATGGGCAGGACGAGGATGTTCAGAGCATCCTCGCTGCTTCCTACTGCATCCCAACCAAACGTGCTGCCAGCTGCCTGGGATGCAGCCAGGGATGAAGACGGTGGTACGGGTTGGGGTTTGGTGACTCCAAGGCACGCGTATGTGCATCCTCGGTCCCCGCCAGTGAATGTGAGCACACTGTCGCCTTCCCAAGCGGTGCAGACTTGGCTGGTGAAGCGCTACATGTTCATCTGCATTTTCTACAGGCTCAGCTTCTTCTTTTCATCCATACAGAAAAATGCCCCCATGTTCCAGCGCATGGAGCCGTCCTCCTTGCCACAGGAGATCATCTCAAATGCAAAGGCTCTGCCTTACCTCCAGCAGGACACCCTCTCGGGCCTGTGAGTGTTGCCCTGAGAAGAAGGGAGATATTCCTGGCGCTTTTCTGTTCCTGCAGCTCTCGTTTTGTTCTCTGGAGCTGGTACTGTGATGCACAGAGGGTTAAAGAGCTGCCAAAAGCAGGGAAAACCCAGTGTGGGGCAGAAAACTCCCAGCACAAAGCTTTTGCAGGATCCCTGGTGTGTCAGCATCACCACCAGCAGCGGGGTGGCTGATGGGGATGGCCACGTGTCCTCATGGACACTCTTCTTGCAGGGCCATCCTGGCACTGAGTGCGAACTCTCTTACCTAGGAGGGTCTGGGATGGAGTTGAATCTCAGGAGCGGTCAGCAGCAGGTCCCTGGGGGGTGCAGGGCCAGTGGGGGATCCCAGCACCCCACCAGGCTGGTGGGAAGGAGATGGTGGGAGCTATCTGTGCTTGGGATGTCCCCCTGCCACCATGGGACCTGTTGCATCAATGTCCTCTGCTGCCCAGGCACTGCTTCAGCTCTCCCAGGCATATGATGTTTGTCCTGGGGGTGTCCACCTTTGACAGCCTGGAGCGCGAGCACGAGGTGGTCCCCAGCTCTGAATCCCTGGGGAGGTGATACCCAGTGGTGACAGCAGCCAGCTTGTGTCCTCCCTGAAGCAGGACTGTCTTTGCAGGAGCAGCCGGAGCGGGTTTCCCTCGCTGAGCCCACTCTCGCCACAGGAGATCTTCCAGCTGGCATGCATGGACCCAGCCCACGGGCAGTTCCAGGAGCACCAATCTCTGGTAAAGTCATGCGCTGCCCAGCGAGGATGCTGGTGGGCACGGGGAGGTGTGGGGCTGCCGGCGTGGGGATGGCAGATCCGAAGCAGGGATCAAACATCCCCAGGTGTCCCCCAGCTGGGGTTCTGGCTTGGGGGCCAGGCAGCAGCAAGTGCTTTTGGGGTGAGAGCTGTGACCGGGGTGTGATGTCCTGCAGTAAAATATCCTTCTCTTCACAGGCTGCTCTTTTTTTTTTTCCACTGAGAGCTGGTTTCAGTGGGTTACCCCATGCTGAGTGATGGTATCTGATGTTTTCGGATTCATGTTCATTTTGTTGTCAGTGCTGGTGTCCCCGCTCCCAAACTGAGCTGTCAAACTGTCTCCAGTGGGAGCACGCCCCTCCGGCATCTCACCCGTGCC